GATTAAATACAAGCCCAATCATAATCTCCACAACATTTTTCACAGAAATAGAAAAAAAACAAATCAATTGACAAACCAAAAAACCCTAAAACTCACATGGAAACACAAAATAGTATAGACAGACAAACAATTCTGAGTGGGAAAAAAACCCAGTATTTTATGAGGGTTTATTAATCAAAATTTTTGTACCATACTATAGAGATATAAAAATAAAAGCAGTATGATACTGGCACACACATTCACAATGACTTACATAGACACACACACACACACACACACACACACATACACACACAAACACAGAGGGACCAATAAAATAAAAGACCCAAACTTGTGTGCATGTAACTACAGCTATTTGGTATTTGACAAAGATGCCAAGAATTTGCAGTGGATGAAGGACAATATCTTCATCAAACTGAGAAACTGTATATGTGCATGTGGAAGAATGAAATTATACTGTTCTTTATTATTTTGCACAAAAAATTAAATTCAAATGCATCAAAGTATTCATCAAACCTGAAATGTTGAAACTCTTAGAAGAAAACAAAAGAAGTATGCTATAAGATATAGGTATATAGGAAGGAACTTTCTAAATAACACATTTGCTCAACAAAAATTGAAAAATGGAACCTCTCAGAAAAGACCCTGTGCCCGGATATATTTGGTACTTGTAGAGCTCCTATCCTTTCCATATCATACTAACTCCCCTTCTTTCTTATGATTTCCTGCACTCTGCCAAGGTTTGGTTATGAGTCTTAGTGTCTGCTTTGGAACACTGCTAGATAGAGTCTTTCAGATGCCTTTTGCGGTAGACTCCTGTCATACATTCAATGCACATCCCATTTGTTTTTCTAAATGAGGATTGATCATCTTCACCCATGTCTACTTTCTTGATTATCTTCTTTAGGTGTGTAGATTTCATTATGTTTATCATATCTTGTAGGTCTACATAAGCGAGTATATACCAAGTTTGTCTTTCTCCTTCTGGGATACTTCACTCAGAATGATCTTTTCTAGAGCCCACCATTTGCCTGCAAATTTCATGATTTCCTCCCTTTTGATTGCTGAGTAGTATTCCATTGTGTAAAAATACCACAATTTCTGTATCCATTCCTCTGTTGATGGACACCTGGGTTGTTTCCAAGTTCTGGACCATGTATGGATATAACATAGAACTTCTACTCGGATGTGGCCTGTGGTAGCTCAGTGACCAAGTAGTTTTCCAAAGTAAGGGGAACAAGGACTATTTCTAATAGGATCTCAAGGGCAGGCTCTTTGACCTCCCCCCCTAGGGGAGGAGCAGTCCTGTTAGGCCACAGAGGAGGACTTTGCAGCCAGCCTTGAAGATACCTGATAAAACAGGGTCAAATGAAAGGGGAGGAGGTCCTCCCCTATTAGTGGACTTGGAAAGGGGCAGGGAGGAGACCAGGGAAGGAGTTGGGGAGGGGGAGGGAATGAGGGAGCGGGATACAGCTGGGACACAGAGTTAACAAATTGTAACTAAAAAGAAAAATAAAAATTAAAAAAAAGAAAAATGGAACCTCATAAATTTAAATATTTGATACAGGAAAGAAATAACAATTGCATAAGATGAACCCCACAGAGAAGGACAGAATCTCTGCCAAATACACATATTATAGAGAATTAACATATAGATATATATATAGATCACTCAAAAAAAAAAAACTCCAAATAATTAAGAAAACACATGACCCAATTAAAAAGTAGGCTACAGATCTGAACAGAAGGCTTTCAAAAGAAGACATGAAAGTGACTAGAAAATATCTTTAAAAGTGCTCAATATCCTTATCACCTAGGGAAATGCAATTAAAACCAACCTTGAGATTTGATCTTACTCCAATTAGAGTGATTAAGAGCAAGAACACAACTGACAAAAAAAAAAATACTACTGGCAAGGACATGAGAAAAATGTATCATTCACTTATTATTGATGGAATTGCCATCTGGTGTAGCCTCTATGAAAAACAGTATGGAGAATATTACAAAAAGGTGAAAGTAGATCTATAACATGACCCAGACACATCAATTCTCGGCATATTCCCAAAGGCTTCCAGACACTTGCTTCAGTCATGCTTATGACTGCTCTACTCATTAAGAAATACAATCAGCCCAGCTGTCCTTCAGTTGATGAATGGATAATGAACATGTGATACACATACAATGGAATATCATATGTTTGCAAAAAAAAAAAAAGAAATTGAGAACAGGCAATTTGCAGGTAAATGGGTAGAACTCGAAATTATTGTACTTTCTGAGGTAAAGCAGACCCATAAAGACAAAGTCTACATATTCTTTCTTATTGTGATTTCTTGCTCTGAACTTCTTGATGTAAGTATGAAATGTGGAGTATCTGAAGAAACTAGAAAGTAAAAAGGAACCATGGAGGAAAGAAATAACAGGACACCAGTGTTATGAACAAATACATGAAAAAAAATTGAGGGAGGCTTTAACTGGGAAGGGAAGAGAGAGAAAGCAATACAGAGGACTGAGGAGAAATAAAAATACAGTAAGGATGTTTGAAAAAGCCAAGAAGGAATCATATTATGTTTACCTAAAATTATAAATTATATATATTCATATAAAATATGTATAATATATAGTTTAAGTTAAATAATGGCGATTGGAGTAATCAAACTAAGCTCAAAAGGCATAGACTGTCCAACAAAAACCTCATCACCAAATATTAGAAACCTCCTTTTGAGTTTTGGTCAGAGTAGTGAGCATATGATAAACTGTTCTTTTTGGTTGGCTACAGAATTTTAATGTAAGTCCTATTGCTTAAGACACTACACATTTGGATACAAGACTTGAATTCTTGAATTCAATTCTTGAATTCAAGCTTGATTCTCCTAAAGGACTAGTACTCATAGTACAGGAAGATACTGTGCTTGCTGCCACAGCAGAAAAGCAATCAATAGTCTCACTGAGCTGAAACTAACAACGTGGGCCTGCAAACCACAGCAATGACCTGCAGGGCAAAGAAGCTCCAAAAATTCAATATCGGCATTATCTTGGGGTAAAAAAATAACTTTCTAATTGGAATTAAGGCCCCCCTGAATATGAGCAATCTCAAGCTGAATACTACTAACGTGGCCATATTCCTTTCTGGTGAGGCAACGGTACTTAGAGGAGAGGATATTACTGCCATTTTCCTAACCCAGTGTAATTTGTTATTCCATTTTAAGTGTTTACCCATATGGCAACAGATGAGCACAACCCTAAACACTCATCAGAGACAACTCCCTAGCAGAGATGGGGCTTATCACAGCAATTCAACTGGTCACAATGCAGAGAACAGTGGAAAGAGGTGTCCCCAGACTTAACAGACGTATCTGTTACACTATCCTACCCCTGCATCTCAGGAGACATTGTGGAAGAGGGCACAAGAAGACTGTAAAGGCAGAGGACGAGGAAGTCTGCAGGATACTGAGTCCTCTAAGTACAACAGGGAGTTGAGTATGGCTGCCTAAACAACGCTGGTATAATGGCAAAACCGGTTTATATTCCGGCGTGGATGGGGGAAATCTCACATTGTTTTATCCCTAGATGAAGAACTACAGGCAATTAATGAGCGCCGAGAGTGAGAGATTCAGTAATCCCCGGGGCTGAAACCCCCAATTTATTATCTAGCACCAAATGATCAGGACCTAACTCATAAACGTATGGGCAACACTGAGTAAATCCAGAAAGTTGTAATTTATATAGGTTATACACAGAGAAACACAATTATAAAAACAGTAGAAATTAAAGGGAAGTAGGCCACAAATGTGGAAGGGTGTGCAGCTAGGAGTCATAGCAAGGATGGAAAGGAGGAGGGTGATATAAATGCAGTGCTCAGATAACAAATTTTCAAAAACATAAAATAGCAAATATAATGTAGGAAGAAATATTATTTGGAAAGTTTTCAGTTGGAATCATGGCGTCTTAAATAGGAATGGGCTTCTAGAGAATTTATTTGTATACTACTATGATAGCATATATACATATATATGCTATTATAGTAGTATACTATATATATATATATATTCATGTTAAAGAATGACAAATCCTGTGTGTTTGAGGAATAAACAGAAGGCTGTATGTCTTCAAATGGCCATAAGCCATAACTTCGTATGCTGTTTGCAGACTGCTTTTGCACTCCCCTTCTTGCTTGACTTACAGAAAAATGGAGAAGGCTGAGAGTTTAGGATTAAGCCACCCAGAACAGCTTTACAGTAGAGGTAAATTCAAGAGGAATTCAAGAATATACTGTGAAACCCATCGGAAACTATATCATGATAGCCATCGGAAACTCTTTCAGTGATTGGTTTTATTGCTAAATAAAATATAATGCATCAATCCTTTTCTAAACTTTATCTCACATCAGGCCAAGAAAGAGAAATAAGTTAGTGAGATATCACGTGAAACTCTCTATCAATAAGAAAAGTAGGAAAGGTCATAATAGACAACTTTATGAAAAATAAATATGGCTGATAACTGTCAAAACAATTATATTCAAGTGGTAAACACTTTTAGCAGAAGAAAAGCAATGACAATGAGTCACTGTATATATAAATTGACATGTGTGATTTGCCGCCATGCCATTGGCATTTACGTTTTGGATGGGTTCTATCTATGAATTATTGAGAATAGGTTAGTGCATATCTCTTTGACCATGAGATTCTATTACAGATTCTGAACCCAAATAGATTTATTTCAGGTTTTAATCCTGTTCTTCAGGCTCTGTGATTTTTGGCAAGTTAAACACCTCTCTTTACTCCATGAGTTCCTAAAGAAACATTTATGGGGAGGGTCCCCAGACCCATGATGTTTCTCACAGATACTTTTCTACTATTACACACATACAGAATTTAACTTTCAACATATTACACACAGAATGTGATCATGTTTACCGGAGACAAAAAAATGCTTTTCAGGTATGAGCCACAGATGGAGCCTGAGCCAAAGAATTCTGCTTCCTGGATGTCCACTGTGCTCACCTGTAGTCGCGCAGGAAAACTTGGTTTTGTGGTCACACAGTCGAATGGTACCATTGCAACCTTTTTCGTCACTGCCATCTTCGCAGTCCTTCTCTCCATCACAGCGCCACAGATCAGGAATGCAGTTTCCGTCAGGGTGGCATTGAAATTCACTCCCAATGCAGCCAGCAGGAGAACGAACTTCTTCATTTTAAATGAGGAAGAAGAAAAATGGGTCAAGATGCGAGAAAAATTGTGATTTTCTGTACATACAACATTTTTATAAAACATTAATAATTTAAAACATTAATAATTAAAAGAAAATAATATTTACTGTCTCTTAAAGATTTCCTGAAGGTTTATATAAATTAGTAAATAGAATGTGTGGATGTTTTATTGTTGTCTTAATTAGTGCCTTCAGGTATTGCCTTTGAAGCACTTTCTCTAAGACATATAAACAAAATTTCTCAATAAGACTTTGCTTGTTTATTTTTTGACATTTCTTGAGTAATTTCTTTCAAATTACCAAGAAATAAATAACCAAAAAATTAGCACTCTGTGACTAAGAAAATCTTTGGAAACAGTAACTGAGAATTTAAAAGCAAAGAAACACCCTGTAAACAAAACATGTTCAATATACAAGATTTATATTTTGCAAGCAAAGCTGAAAATTATACATATGAATTTAATAAAATATTATTTGTTCTAATTCAATTAATAAGAATATAATATCCAGATACACTATTGTCCAGCCTCATGATAAAATGTAAGATAAATTAAGCATCATTAAGAGTAAGAGGATATAAACAGAGACATTGGGACATCTTATACTATAATAACAATACAAGTATAGTCAATTATATTTAAAGATTCAAAATAGCTAATATCAAAAGTATCATATTTACCAATATTTTCCAGTATTGTTCTAAAATAATTATATTAATTTGAGACTAAACTTTTAATGTAATAAATCAATTGTATATCTTGTGTTGTGATTCTTAGCAAAGTTTGTTTATCTGTGCTGACAATTATTTACCTACTTAATTTGTTGGCTTGGTAGAGGTACAATGATTTATTGATAGACTTACTTAATATCGGAATTCTGATGTCACTAAAGCAACCACGGAGACCTTGAGTTGTGCTCCTGACCATCTGGAAATGTGATGTGAGGACTACATTTGCTATGTTTAAATGAGTATTTTAATTACAGTTTTCGTTGTTGCGTTTCCCTGTGGTATTAATAGACAAGTTCTTGACTGAGTTCTTTGTTTTATGTAATGATTTACAACCACAATTATTATTAAGACATTTAGGAGAAGCTTGGTATGGCTTCCAAAGCCTTGCTAGAGGAATAAACGTTAACAATGTAGAGCCAAGAAAAGTGTCTACTGAAGCAAGGAGAATATTCAAGTTAGTACAGAAGAGGGACTCCAGTCTCCACATTTAAACACAGATGGAACTTTCCCTAGAGATTTTTTTCTTCCCTTTGTAACTTTAGAAGTCTAAACTCTGTAGGCTATTGCAACATCTAATGGCTATTACAAACAACTAAATTACAGTCATTTACAAACTAGAATGTAGCCAGGGCAGGTAAATTAGGTGCATTATGGAGATACAAGCTAGCAAGGTGGAACAGTTCCCTTAGGAATACTCAGACATATGTTTTTCATGTATGACAATAGGGTCTCTGTCACCCTATTCTTTCCAGCTACCACAGCCCTCTAGTACACACTTCAACCTTTGTTGTTTTTAGATTTATAAGAAACCAAATTTCTTAAACAAAGTAAAACAAAACAAACAAAAAAAAGGACGCTCCCCCAAATAAAACAAAAGCTAAATTTGTGTGTTCTATTCAGAAACCTCATTGTCAGGTATTACAGTGTATGAAATTGGAATTATATGTAACATTGTATATTCCTACATACTTCCCTTACCCACATAAGCTACCCAGCAATCCTTTTTACTCTCAAGAGGAAACAAGACTGTACATGTCATTTAGCATTTGTTTTATTCCTACCCAGTGGGTCTCCCATGATCTTTTACAGGTTCCCATTACCCTTATACTGAACGTTAACTATAGGGGGCTGGATAAAGCCCACAACAGAAATGAATCACTCACATGCTTCATTTTATTTTGTTAAAACACAAATAAGTGAATAAAAAAATAACAGAATTTTAAAGAAAAAGAATTAATTTTCCAAAAGGCATCTAGATAATAAATGTCAGAGATATGATCCGAAATATTGAGTTCTCTGTTCTTTTTATCACCATACTATTTTGACCTGCTAGAAGGGATTTATTCATTCAGAGGCCCCAAAATAAAATGAAATTATCTCATACAGAAATCAAGAAGGAGGACTGAGAGAGATGGCTCAGCAGTTAAGGGAACTGGCTGCTCTCTTCCATAGGACCTGGGTTCAATTCCCAGCACTCACATGGCAGCTCAAAAGTGTCTATAGCTCCAGTTCCAAGGGATCCAACATCTTCACACAGACATACATGCAGACAAAATTCCAATGCATATAAAAATAATATTAACAAAAGTAAATAATCATTGATAAATGAAATAAAGAATAATATGAAAATCCATTTTCTTTTTATATTTAATTTGCTACAATTCAGTCTACTTTTTTTGTAATAAAATGTAACATCTATTTTGCTCTTTGGTAAGTCATGTTAGAAGTTATTTTAAATATATATGTTAGTTCTTAACAAAAAGATCTTTAAACTTTATATTGCCTCAGACAGTTTAGCTTTCCTGGGATTACTCCCTCAGTTGGTGGCGAACCAGAAAAACATATAGGAAGATCTAAGTAGTCAGAATGTATGGGTAGTGATGCCATGGCCCATGTATCAGGAGAGAAGCAGAGTTTGCTACATCTTTGCATCTGTGGTGCATATACAACAGTTCTTCTAGTCTCAAGAAAAAGTGCCATGACTCAGTTGTAGTGGGTATTTCATGAGATATAAAGGGAACATGTAGGACTTTAATAAACTATTGTGAAAATAGGAAAATACATCTGTGGAGAAAGTAAAAAAAAATGTGATGAGTAAATTGAATTTCAATAACATCATTGAAAGTAGGAGGTATGACATAGCTCCACTATGCTATAGTAAATCACAAGCACAAAATCTCTGTATTAAATTGGAAACATTGTACGTATTGCCCTTGTCACTCAACTATTGTGGATTGGTGCGTAGCTGTTTTTCTGTGTTCATTCAAGCATCCAAGTAGGAAGCGGTTCACTAGAAGGCCCATCTCATTCTTGAAAGAAATATGCTTTATCACAATTCATTGGCTAAACCTACTTATACAGATTTGGAACCTATCATGTCAATCATTTCCATCCAAAACATGACCAATGGGTAATGTATTACAACTGTCACTCATTATTGCCAGAAAAGAATGACCTGAGTATAATACATCAATTAAGAGTTTACTTACAGCCAAATTTACAGTGATAGGGGAAAGCCACAAAAACTTTAAGGGAAAAAAATCAAATAAACAAACTCAAAACTTACTAAGTGGACAGAATAGGAATAGGACAGATCTTAAAGCAAGATGTAGCATTAGTTTTTGAAGCACAAAGAAATAGAAGTTGGTAAGTGAGTTTAAATCTGAATGGTGAGGAAAGAGTTCTGTGAGCATTTATTAAGAATCATGGTAAGATAAATTCAATTATATCAGGATCGGAGATTTGAAACATTGGAATAATGATAACATAATCTAGTTCACATTGTTAGTTTTCTTTGGCTACTGTTTGGAAAAATGGACAGTCTGAAGCTTGACTCAGCCTCCAGGAAATCCCAGTTGCTGAAGTTCCAATCCAAATGTCAGCCATAGTTTCTGATTCTGGAAACATCTGATAGGGTAGTGGACATACAGATAAGTCGGTCATGTGTGCATTTGTCCAGCCATCTCTCATAAACACTTATGGCGGAGCAAGTGCTGCGAGGGCAGATGAAAACTACCCATCCTTAGAGGTCTCACACGAACTATTCTTATGACAGAGCAAAACAGGAATTCTGAGTCCCATTTTAATACTCACCCAAGAAAAAACTAAGTGGAAGGAAAAATTCTTTCTTCAGTCATTTTCTCTTTAGGCACCCACGATTAAAAACAGGATTCTCACATGCTAAGCATCAGCATCTTTTCTCATCAGCAAAGAGCACAAATGTATTTTTTTTTTTTTTAGTAAAGCAAGCAGAATTAATAAAAACTGTTTGGTATTGAGAAAGAGAAAGATTGAGAAGCAAAAGAAAGACATGTGGGCAGGACCCAGACCTAGAAAATCTTTTTATGTCACGCTAAATGTTTAGATTTAATATGAAAGGACAAAGGGAATAATAAAAAGGCATTCAGTGCAATTCTCTTGATTAAATAGACATTCCATGTAGAGCACTTCAGGAACATTTATATCGTAGATAGGAAGAAACTTCTATTACTTTTCAAAGTGAGTGAGTGTGTGTGTGTGTGTGTGTGTGTGTGTGTGTGTGTGTCTGTGTGTAGAAGCAAGATGCACATCCAAGACGCATACAACTACACATCTAATTCATCTTCTTGAACACTGGCTTATATTGCAGTCATCTGCCTTCCTCAACAAAAATACTTATACACATTTGCATTTTAACATTTCCTCTCTCTGCTTTCTCTTCATAATTAAAAGAACCTAGAAGGAACCCATAGATATTCCCAGTCATTTACGTATTTCCGAGTTCTTTTTCTTTATCCACATATTTTTTTAAGTCTTGGAGTTTAATTCATCTTAACTTTCTTGCCAAATGCAATCAGGTTCTTTTGACAGTTGCTGATGCTACCCTGGGTTGAGAGACACATCCCTCAGACCAGCAATGACTGCTCTAACATTAGATCCAAACTGTGCAACTCCCCTGAGTCCTGGTTTCCTCAGCTTCAGGTCTTGGCACAGTCTGTCTTTGTGCTATGGTTGTCTCAGTGGAGTACTTGGTTATGGCTGCGTGTTTATGTGCATGCTCCTGCTGTTTTACTCTTGTGTTCCCATGCTGATGATGCTGGTTATTACATTTTGAACTAATGTAATTTTACTGTATATTTACCCTGAAGCTATTTAAACCAAGCATACAATTTGGGAAATCTTCTACGTAAATAAATAAATGTATAGATATATAAACAAGCAAATATATGCAGAGCACTGAAGAAAATGTGGCATGTAATGGTAGAATTT